ACTGGCCCATAATTATTTTTTTAATAATTATTTTATTTGTCCCTTTTTGTTTTAAATTTTGGGCCCCATAATTTGTTTGTTTAAAAATTATTTATTCTTTTTAATTTTTATTTCTGGCCCTTTTCTTGATTGATTTGTATAATTATTATTTTTTGGTATAATTATTAAATTTTTCCCATCTTGATTTAAAATTCTGCCCCTAATTTTATTATTTTTCCATAACATTAGTAATGCTGGCCCCCCAACATTGATTATTCGGGCCCCCAACATTAATTCCCCGGTTAAATTATTTTCTGGCCATACTTTTTTTTTTCTGGCCCCATCATTGATTTATCTGGCCCGACATTGATTTATTCGGTCCCATACTTGATTTATTCTGGCCCCAACATTATTTATTTATAATTATTTTTTTTCTGGCCCCTAAATTTTTTATTTTTTAAAAAAATTTTTTTTGGCCAATTTTTTTTGTAATTTTATTTGGAAAAAATTTGATTTTTTTTTTCCTTTTTCATTTTATTTTTTCCCCAAAAAAAAACCCCCCCCCAAAAGGGGGGAAATTTTCCCCCCAAAAAAAAACCACTAGAATGGGTCACAATAATTTTTAATTGATTGGCCCAAATTTAAAAATTGGTCCCATACCATTATTAAATCTGTTTAATGGACCCCCATTCCCCTTGTGGGTTTTTTCCCTAAATTTATTATTTGGACCCTATTATTTATTTGGCCCCCTCATTGTTTTTTCTATCCATCTTTTGATTTTTCCCCCAAAATTTTATTTTGGGCCCCATACTTTTTGATTTGGGATCTTGTTATTTGGCCCTCATTATTTTCTTCCCTTTGATTTATTTTGGCCCCTTTAAATTTTGTTTTTCCCCTCTTGGATTTTGGGATACTTAGTTTTTGGTCCCATAATTTGATGTTGGCCCCATTTATTGTTTGGGCCTCAATTATTTTCCCCCTTGATTTATTTTGGCCCCAATTTATTCGGTTTCCTCATTATTTATTCTTTGGAAAAGATGATTCTTTGGGCCCAACATTGTTGGGTTTTTATCTTTTTATTTTCCCCCCACATTGGGTTTTTTGGTAATTTTATTTATTTGGCCCATAATTGTTGATTTTGGGATAAAGTTTATTTGGCCCCATACATTTTATTTTGGTATCTTATTTATTTGGCCCCTCATATTTTTTTTTTAAAAATAATTTGATTTTTAGTTTCCCACCCGTGGGCCCCTTTTCAGTTTTTTTGGATTTTCAAAGAAAAAAAAACCCCAAAAAGGGTATAAAGGGGGAAAAGGGGAAAAAGGGATAATGAAGGAAAAGGAATGGTTTAAGGAGAAAGGGAAGGGGAAAAGGAAAAGGAGGAACAAGGGAAAAAGGGGGGAAGGAAGGAGGAAAAGAAGGAAAGGGAAGGAAAAAGGGGGAGGAAAGGGAAAAGGAAGGCCAAAGGATTGGCCCAAAGATTTAATTTTAATATCTTTGTTTGGCCCCAAGTATCTTATTATGATTTTATTTAAAATTTTGACCCCTTTCTTATTATCTGTTTATTTTTA